AACAGTAAACATGAGATATATTCCTCAAATGTTAAGTTCGTTTAAAAATAATCAGATTAACGACTAAAACAGCACTTGAAAATTATACAGAAAGGATGACCAACAGAATTGAGGTTTCCATTCAATGACTCAGAGTCAAAATTTACTTGTTGAAGTGTTTTTGTGGGTGATGTGTTAGAAATATCATTTCATATTAGGCTAAGTTCTAAGAAAGTGCAGTGCATTCCCACCACCAACATCCCCAAGAAAACAATTTCATGATGTATCCCAAAGTTATAGGAGTAACTTTGTACTTTCAGATTTCCTGCCCCTGAAATGTGATGCATGCCAGAAGATATTTTGGTAAGCTGAATTTTGATGTCTTGTCTATATTCCAGGAAAAACCATACATTACACATTAACCATTTACTTGCTTATAATTATGTCAAACATATAACATAGTAAATGAACGTATCATACATTACAAAACATGTCACCTTAAATGAAATGCTATACATTTGGTTATACTGTGCTGACAAATTTGATCAAACGAAGCTTAAAAGATTAACATTACTTTTTCAGTAAAGATCATTTCCAGTATCAGCACCATAACTGCCCAGAATCATTTAAGAAGGTGAGTTATATATATATAAAGACTGAGTTCAACAAAAACTTAAGACAAAAGTTTGTAATTTTAGAAGTAACCCTGATTTACTGAGAGCTAATTAACAATATCAGTTCCAATTTTGAGCTTGTTATGTAGATTATGTATGTTTTTATTTAGTGTATATACTATACTTTGTCATAATTAATTCGACCATAATAATTTAAGATCAGTAAAACTTTGGCACTTGGTAAATCAATACCATACATTTGCTTTGTATTTAAGAAAACTTGCTGTTGTTAAACTTTTCTTTTATCTCATAGATTGAAAGGTCAGATATTAATAAACAATATAACCACAGGATCAGCTCAATCCGTCAAATATAGTAGTCTTTTATCACAAAAACAGTATTTTTTTATCAGGACGATCCATCAATTATACTAGTCATTTACCACAAATGCAACATTTATTTGCTCAGGACAATCAGGTTCCAGTGTGTCCACTGTGTAATAAGCCTATCCCTGTGGATAGGGGTGAGTTGCCAGACATCAAAGTTGGTCAGCACATAGACACAGACTGCCAGTCTGACCCAGCCAAAGCAAGGAGAGGGCAGGTAGGTAGGAGAGAAAGACCATAGATTTATGAAAATAGATTGATAGTTGACATACAGATAAAACACACACACACACACACACACACACACACACACACACACACACACACACACACACACTTGTACATGTCATTTCCTCAGCTCTGTCTTTGAGCTTACAGTGTTAAAAGAAAGAGGATATTAACATTTCCTTGTTATGCTCTCACAAGTCTTGAAATAGAATCTGTAAAGAGAAGGACACATAGCTTGTAAAAGAAACTGAAAGACAGTGCATGATGAAGACATTTTATCATGCTGACTCTGTACAATATTTATTTTCGTAAGGCCTTAAATGTTAGTTATGGAGGAAAAAAGTCACAGTAGGAAAAAAAGCAACAACATTGTACGTGCATTAATTTTTTATGAGGCGTGTAGTATTTGGCCAAGATTTTAGGTGTTAAACTTGACTGTAAGGATTCGGAACTGAAAATATCAAAACATGATCTGTGCATTGAGAAAAAGGCAATTTCATATCTATTGAAATAGATGTCATACTCAATATCATATTATTTATCGTCTTCTACTTCCAGGTTTACCAGAACAGGTGCTCTAAAAAAGGCTGCAAAACAAGAGAGGTGAGTACATGATTATTCTCATTGTTAAAAAATAAAAAAAATCATATTTGTTCACATTTTCCATTCATGGCTCTGTATTCATTCATCATAGATCAATGCTGCACATTATGGGACTGCATTTTACTGTCCATTTATTTTAGTCTTAATAAAGTGTAATTACACATTACATAAGTGTGAAATTGGCAAATCTTAATATTTGATTTTATACATATTTTACATTTATCTTTGTGCATTTATCTATTTCAGCTAGTGCCAGTTGTCTGTGAGAAATGCCACAAGAATTTTTGTTTCAAGCATCGTCATGAATCTGACCACAAATGTCAAGGTTTTGAAGGCACAGGCAGAGGAATGTCTAGAGCAGGGTAAATTTATGACACATACAGTACACCTGGCATATGTAATGGTTTCTCATTAATAGCATGCTCTCCTATAATGTACTGAATCTGGAAAGGTCCTGTCTTACAACAGAGAGCAAACCTGCATTTAAATTAACAGATAAAAATAGCTGACCCTAATTGACTATATAATCATCTTTGAAAATTTTTGGTTCGAAAATTCAGCATTTTCAACATGGCAATTATAATAAAGATAACCGCTCTGTTTCAGAGCTGCTGCCATGGCACGTAACACTACCAGTTCCAGTCAGTCATCAAAACCTGGTGGTAATAAGTCGACCAGCAACAGCAGACCACAGCAGTCACTGCTCAGTAACATGGGGAGAGACCTGGACAGGTAAGATACTGAAGACATTTACATCAGAAATTGCGTGTCATTGACTCTATTTTTTTTTTTTTTTTTTTTTTTTTTTTTGTCTCCTAGACCTATATTTTGAATATTTATCCTGTAGAGAAAGAAGAGAGAGAGCTGCTCAGGGACAAGGTGCTACTTCAGCCCAGGCTGTGCAAGGTGCTATGGTATGGTCTACACATATTGTTTTTCATTGAAATAAATTCTAGGTGGATTAATACTAAGTTGAATGAATAAATAACAGTCATATTTTCTCAAAGCTCAGCATGTTATTTTTGAGTGTTATGCTCTTAACTCCAAGTGAATGTCTAAAATATGGTCATATTTCAGATAATATACCAAATAATATTGGATTAGAACATTTGAAAAAAAATCTTAAACAATTTTGTACACCTTAAAATAAATGTCTGCTTTGTTGTAGTCTGAAGATGAGGCGCTAGCAAGAGCTATAGCACTGTCCATGGCAGATTCACAGCAACAACCTCCTCCACCACAGAACCAACAGTGAGTACAAATCCTTTCAGCTTGAAAATCGGTTTTGTTCATATCCATTAGAAGCACATGTTGAAAATATTTGTGAAGAGCTGGCAAATCTGAAAATTTACCTGTTAGTGCTCAATGAGCTTTGATAATAACTACTGTTATTATAATTTAAATTTCCACATTGAAGTTGTATTGTAATTCAAACATACGACCGAAATTGTATTTTATCCTGAAATATTGATTTTGTTATTATTGAATCATACACCTAGAGGGCACTGTTAATAAATATTTATAAATTGGTGATATTGAGTTTGGATTCTTCATAATATCTGGAAAATCTTGTTTTTCTATAGCATGACACAGCAGGAGCAGGAGGACTTGGCCTTAGCTCAAGCCATTGCTGCAAGTGAACAGGATGCAAGGAGGCAGAATCGACGGGTACAGCAATTAAATATCTTACCTTACTGACAAATAGTTGTTAAGAAAAGGTTTTGAAAATTGGTGTGATTACCTTATATATTTTGGATTCCTGTACTATTTTGTAAAAATCTGGTTATCATATTGGGAGAGAATATGAATGATCTTACATTTCATGATTAAAATCGGTAATCAAAAATATACTTTTTGGACATTTATAATTGCAAATTGATGAACATGTGATTTTTTTCTTAAGAGGAAGCAAAACATAATACCCTTATCAGTATTATTGAAACTTTGTGTTAATCTTGAGTGTTCTTCTGTGTTTGTTTACAGCAAAAGGTGTACTAATTCCATTTCCAGACTCAGGACAGCTCCAACAAATCTTCCTGTAGTCTGTCTTGAAGAGGCCAGCACCACCTACAGTCCATACCTGTCAACAGATGCAGCCCCACCTAGCAACTTCCCCGCAGTGGATATCAAAACAAAATCACATTAAAGGGCCTCTTGTTGAAAATGTCCATTCCTCTCGCTTATAAACGTATTATCCCAGGGATTTGACCTACAAAGACATGGAAATTTGGCCAGAAAAATTTGTTTATTTTACAGTTACATGTAGCACGAATGAATGTATTCCTTTACATAATTTATTGAATCCTCTGATGCAGTTATTTTTACATTATTGAGCTTTTGAGAATCTTTGCCACCTCATGATTGAAGGGCAGCAGGAGGTTTTTACCACCAACTTTCTTCTGTGCAATTACATGTTTTTATGTGAAAAATTTCCATAAAGTGAACGAGATAACTTTACCTTATCTTTACCTATTTAAATCTTACTTATACTACATATGTATTTATATTGTGGATGATGGTATGTGAAGTAAGTGTATACTGTATTTATGAAAGATTTTTAACCAAGCTTTTATTTTCTATAAATCCTTATAGCCAATGTGCACTCAAACATGTTTATGTAAAACGGTATTGTATATTATTCGAAAATAAATATCTTTGAATGTATTTCAACTGTTCTCAAAGCTATCAGAAATATGCTTCCATTTTTTTGTACGTGCGCCACATGTTCCACTCTCAGGAGAACACGAAAAAATAGCTCCATAAAATGCAATTTTCAAGTATATTAAATCTTCCACACGTACATAGCATGAAATTCTTGATATACGAGTAGGAGGGGAAATATGGGGGGGGGGGATTTTAGAAAACTAAGCATATGGAATGCAGCAGTTTACCAATATAAACTGGATGAGCACAAGATACAAATGTAAAAGTATGGCAGCAGTTTTCAATTTTATACAGTTCTAATTGTTTACTACTATGAATATGTTACCATCCCCAAGAACTATTTTCAGTCATTTTGATAACTGTAGAACCATGCTTGGAGGAAAAAAAAAAAAAACGTGGGAATAGGGAGGAGGGAAGTTTACCTACCATTTTCAGACCGATACTACTGGCTTGGCACAATCTAATCCCAGCTTGAATCCATTCTATTTAGGAAGAAAGTACAATCATCAAACTTGAAAACACCGACTAAACAAATAACATTTTTCTTTTTATTTATTTCATACAAATGGCAGACATTGCAAGTTTACACATTTTCCATTCTTATGTACAAATTCCCTGTGGGCTTTAGAATAACTTGCCTAATCTACCATATTCTTGGGAGTTTTTAAAAATATCACTTGCCATGATAGGATTTTCACTTTTGATCAATTTTTGAGACATCTGAAAACCCACATTTATGGTTAAAATCAGAACTACAGAAGTGCATTCACAATTGTGGTCACATTCTCTCAGCATTCATCATTCATGCTCTTTTGTAATTAAAAAGGAAATACATTGCTTTGGAATAATGTTTTGAGTGGATCAGAGTAGTATTTTCCAAATCAACAACAGCATGTAAACTTGGTCATTGACATCCAGTAAAAATATGACTAAATAACAGTTCCACATGCTTTAGAGTCATCAAGATAATCTACTTAAATAAAAATAAAGACAAAGAATAAAGCAACATAGCAGAAACGTAAAATATATACAAAAGACTAAAATTAGACTACTTTAAAAATAAGGTCAAGGTTTTGCGTACAGTTCATAGACTTGCCAGTGTTTTAGATATTATTTATATTGCATTATAAAATCTAAAATAAATAAAACAAGGACTGTTGCACTCATCACAAGAACAAAGTGCAAGACTTAACTCTTGCCTTCCAGAAATCAACTTCACAATATTCTGCAAGACCAAGAAGAAAAAGCATCTTTCAGAATCACAGAACTGTTGAAGTTGATTGCACATTAAAATGTTTCACAGATGCAGTTCCTTTACAAATTTCAGCACTTGGGACTACAAGAGCTTCTTCTGAACTTGGCCCTCACCTCACATATAAAAATGACAACAGTTGGGTCCATTTACCATTTCTCAGGCCTCGACTGAATGAAGAATTTGAAAGATTGCACAGTGGAAACCGTTGATTAATCGTTTAAAAAAAAATAATAAAAAGCTTCACAGATGAAAAAACAACATCACAAATAAAACCAGCAAAAGTTTCAAATTCACAGATTCATACAAGCCTGACAGAAGGACCAACTGCATCATTACAGTCCACACTGAGCAATGCACATTTCATTTTAGCTAAAAATAAAGCATGCATTCTCAAATCATGAAGGGTTATCTGAATGGGTTTAAATGGTCGGCGAATGCGATGAGTTTCAGTCTGGAGATGAGCAGCAAATCACAACTGGTTGTTTGGTTGGAAGATAGCTAGCTACAGTGTCATTAATAGTTTCAGTGAACAGCTCCAGTTGGGAAAGTCAGTCTGGGTGATAGAGTAGACACTTGGTGGTATCTGAAAATATCAAGATACAACTTTAAATATGAACAGAACCGCATGCGTCAGTTTACTAATCCGTCTTAATGTCATCATTTGAAAATATTGTATTTACTCCTTTTACTTGAGAGGTAAAAGACCGACAAAATTTCAGCAAAACTAACACTTACATCCAAATTCTCAAATACTATTAAAGCCAATGTTCTTACTTTGATGACTTGTACTTTTCTCTCACTGCTTGCTGTGGGTGATTTGGAGCATTGGTGAATGTTTTATGCATTGCGTGTATTAATAATTCCAGGGATTTTACACTGTAACCTGTGCTCTGCTGCATATGGTAAGACTGGAAAAACAATTTAATTTTGTTCAACATTTAATCAACATACACAGATGAACTTTTAAACAACCATATGGAGATGTTGTTATTAACTCAATTCGGAGACCAAAGTTGCCACTATCAATTATTGGTATTTTCAGTGGCATTTCAGAAAAACCTCCAAGTCTTTCTCAAGTGGGATCCAAAATGGCCCCTCTCCTTTACCCAAACATCTATTTCAAATGCATAAGGATTTGAATTCTTTAAAAAAAAAAGAATTTTAAAAAATTAGGTTTCAAATCCATGATTTAACCTGTTGCAAACTTACCCAAGTTTGATGCCCAAGTGTGTGGTTTGCTAAACAGACTGCAGATGCCGCAATTTCGCTGGGAAGAAATTTTAGATATGGGTCAATGTCAATGAGGGTCAGCTCCACCAAATACTGAAAGATGAAGATTTCAAGTTGGTCAATCAATCATTTATGACAATATGTGCATCGAAAACAACTAGTTATAAGACCAACTTCTATCCACAACTCCATTATAATAAACTACCCTTTTTAGGGTGAATCTGCCTCTAACACCGGATAATAAACTACCAGTTATTTTTCACAAATGAGAAACTGATATGGTGTGGAGAGAGAAAGAGAGAGAGAATAATACCATTGCTAGTGACTTGGTCTGATCATCAGCACAGGAAATCTCCAGGAAGCGTTCACAAAAACAATTGGCAGTGGGCACAGCCACATCAAATGAGAGCACTTTCAGCACTAAATGTTCCATTCTAAGTACCTAGAGAACAATAATAAAAATACATTTGCAGAGATGAAATTGAAACATTTCCAACTTGATGAAAAAACCTTTAGCTGTACAAGTTATGTAAACTATAACCAACTTTAATTTCCATATAAGTTGATGGTATTTTTTATTCAATATCAAAAACCATCTCACCTGTTTCTTTGTATAAGTGTCATCAGTAATGTAAACAAATTCGCCAACATCTGGAGGATAGATCTCTTCATATTTGCTGTAGAAAAAAAATCCAATTATGTGTTGGGATATAATGATGAAAGCACATTAATGCGAAATTTCATAACGTGTTGGATAAATTACAAATCCATGTGAGATGTATGATAATTTGTTTGGTCTGTTAAGACATTGAACTAGGCTAATTTTATCACATTTTCCTATCGCTTTGTACTCGTAACCTTGTCAGATTGAAAATATTTCAATTCCTAAAGGAAAAATATTAGGAAAAACTGAAAACACTTACGCGGCTAAGAACATGCAAGCAGCACCAACTAATTGCAGCTTTCCCCTAAGCACTGACATCTGTGACAAAAACCTATCAATGTAGCTGACGGCTAAACAGAGGGTCTCTCTGTGCAGCTTGTATTCCTCAGCAACCTCAACAAGCCAGTCAACGAGAATACAGCGCATATTTGTCGTGATATCTGGTTGTTTTCTCATGTACTCTGGTTTTGGTCTGTGTCTTCGCTGAAAAAAAATATATTTGAAAATAATGAAATATTTCATTTATTGAAAGGGTGAATAAAACGTGGCTGATATGTAGAATTCATATTTGTATAAGCGATGAAAATCTTTCTTTTAATCCTCCAGTCAGCATGTTTATGGCTCTATTCCCATAGATTTTAGATCAATCTATCCCCGCGGGGAGTCTCACTAGATTACTTTCAGATAATCCGACTTAAATGTCCGTCCCTCCTACTACAAGCGGTAAGGGGGTAATTAAATTTCGTGTCCGCCCGGCTGTCAGCTATTTAGCGTGAACCCCCAGGGAGTTAGGTCGATCTAAATTATGGAAATGGGGTGTATGTCATCATTGGTTTGAATTTTAAAACTCATTAGTTTCAAAACTTCAACCTTTTTTTTTACCTCTGCTTCTCTGAGGTAGGTATAGATATCCCCAGTGTACTCTGGTACTGTCAAGATGATGGCTTCTCTCTCTTCTCCTGGTGTCAGATGAGGCCTTTCTTCCATAGACACATCCAAGCACATAGGAGAATCTACAAAAGGAAAAATTCCATGCATAAAATAAAGAGTAATGCATAATGTTTCTTCTTTTTTTAATAACCATTCTAAATGTAAAAAATATCACTTAGGTGCTTTGAGTTTCTCAAGAAATAAAACGGTCCCCCAGCTCAAAAACAATGTCTGACAATACAAATATTTGACCGTTTTCAAATAGTCTGTCCTCGAGTTTTTGTTCTTTATATAATTTTACCTGTTCGTTCATATGCTGTTTCAGCAAGTGAAGTAACTGCTGGATTTAGCTGCAAATTAACATCTGAGCTGTCAACTGGTGGTTTTACCACGTGTGTTATCTGAACTTCTGGTTCGTCGTCAACGTGGATTGTGAATCCCTGTGAGGCGGCGATACCGAACGACTTCCCAACCTGGTTTTCATCCTGACCGAATCCCGAAAATGTGCTGGAAGCATTTACCTAATATAAAAGGGAAGATAATAATGGTTAGAATACTTTGGTGGCAGATGAATAAGTATTCGGGCGGTAAAATTAATCCTGACTGGGACAAAGAAAAAATTTGAAAATGGCGGACGGTTTACCTGCTTTGGTTTGGCCGCCCTTGACGGTTGAACTCTCTGATTTGTGATAGTTCCCAGTGCTACCCTCTTTGTTGCATGAGGCCCATTTGTTTCTCTTTTTGTCTTTCTCATAGCAGCACTAACTCTAGAGTCTGCAGAATCATCAGCTATGTTGGTGAAGCCACCTTGATGAAATTGAAAAGCCATGTTGAATATCCACCGGTCTTTTTCCAAGTCTTCTTTAAAAACGGCTTAAGAAGTAAGAGTAAAATGCTTTACGGTTTGCGTAAAAGATACAAATAAGTAAAAGCAAGGGCTAAAATTCAGCCGGCTATGAGCCCTGTAAAACGATAAAATAGCTGCTCAAATTCCAGCTTGCATCCACATCCACAGCTGGTTTCTTCTATACTGAAGTCGAATCGTTAAATTCCCCGCGAGGCCCCGGGTCGTCCAATCAAATTTTTGCATTCTGGTCACATGGCAAAGCAAACAACAACTCACTGCCTCGCTTTGACCCAGCGCGAAATAACAATTTAGCAAAACTAAGACTAGAAACTAAAATAGTGAAAATATATTTATTTTATTTTGACAATTCGATTTTCATTGATAATTCTTACAATACTCATCTGTATGTTTGAATTGCAAATGCAGTCACCTAAAATTGATTTTTTTTTTTGCTCTAGGAGCTAATTATTGCAATTATGCGTGTGGGTGGTGGGGAGGGGGTGAAGTCGGCCTTTGAATCATGCAGATAAGAAATAATTAATAGACACCTCAATGAAAAATTAATTAATTAAAAATACAAATTATAAAATGAGAAGAAAGTATAGGCGGATTTAAATCATTTTTCGAAAAGATAATTTTTTCCTGACATTCCATAAAGGAAATAATATTCCCAATTATTGCATTTGGCGTTCTTCGCTTTTACAATAGGGCCTATTATAGGTGTCTAATAAAAGAAAACGTTTTTCCAAAAACTAATGGGTCGCATTTCAAAGATTTTTTACGTGTTGCCAATAACTCTGTTTAATTCAATGACAATGTCTTTGGAATTAGGTTTAATAAGTAGATTAAGCTTTATATAGGCCCTATGGCTTCCATGAGACGCTATGGGTCTACATGTATAATAACAACTCTCATGTGAGAGGTCAAGTCTGCAGTCTATTTTTATTCATTCATTCATTCATTCATTCATATTTTTATCATATATACCTTGTAGAATGTAAAGGTTTAAAACGGATGCTTTTTTTAGTCAGTTGTTCAAGGATGCATTAATTATTCAAGTAGTTATACAACTTGCTAGCTTCTAGTGTCCGTAGCGAAAAACAATAGCATGTTTCGTTTCGGCAATAAGCTAAGACCAAAAGCCGGAAAGATTAATATCTGTCGTGCCTCGGCAAGGAAATCGCTGTCACGTAGTCTCTTCCTTTCTTTCTCGTCCGGTTATGTAATATTTGCTACAAGCAAAAATTTCCATAGGTAATGTAATGTTTTCATCTCCATCTATAATACCTATTGCCTAAAGATGGCTGTAAAGAGACCTTATAATTGACAGCAGGTTAGGGGTTATCTTGCTCATTCAACTAGATAAAATAATCGCTCAGGCGTCACTGTATTTGAAAAGCGCTGCATGCTTTCTTTTTTTTTTTTTTTCGGGTTTTCAAGTGTATAAGCGCAAGCGCATATCTACAGGTTTAAAAGTTCTTCTCAGAAAAAATAATAATAATATCTGTGTTTGTTAATTTGAGCGAAGTCTCAGAAATTGAAAATCAGTAAAAAAAATGACCATGATGGATAATAAAAGGCGGTTTAATGTTTTGTTTCTGGATCCAATTTTACATTCAGAATATATTGCACTATCCCAGTAGGTATGGTGTTTTCACTCTATTTCTTTTATTGAATAGGTATTTTCCTTTTCAGGTATTTTCCTTTTCCTCTGGGGTCTAATGGTTTCTAATGGTTAGGTATTGGTAAAAACAGAATAAATAAAATCCTTACAACAAACTACGGGAGCAGTGTTAGACAGATAAATATTTTTTGTATAGTTTTACGTTTCTCCGATATGGAAATCTGTACACTTATTACAGTTTTCCCATTTTTAAATTTCGTTTATCTAATCAATCATCTTTTTACTGCTAATTGTAGCTATTTGCATATCTACGTACAAGGTTAGTTATTCATCTATTTTTGCTTCTCAGTCTTGTGTACGATACGATCCAACATTCTTGTAGGTCTTTGGTGGCGCGGCATTTGTCCGGCAGAGAATTTGTCAAGCCTATTTTTACCTGTAGTAAAATGTGTTTCTCGCTTTTCTTTATTTCTTTCTTTGATCTGTACCTTATTTGTGAAGGTCTGATCAACAAATTCATTCATATTGGTAATGACACTGGCTGCCTCCCGTCAGTGCAGCGGGGTGTCAGAGATGGCATTACGATTCAGTGACGATACAAGAACCCCCGTGCGTCTTAGGCGCGTGATATTTTAGCGATTGTGGGGACAAAGCGCTAACTCGCTCTAATCACCATTGTAACCAAACCAAAGATAACTTCTTAATAAAGGTGCGCTTATCGTTGTCGGAAAATCAAAATGCAGGTAATGGGAACAAGCGCCTTTGTCGCTGTGCAAATTCTGATAAGATCTTTGGGACTTAAGCTCAACGACAAGCCCCCATTGGACACTGTTTAAATAATAAAGATGACGATGGCACCATTTATCTGAAGGGTCTTTGAGTTTTCACCCAACAGCTAGCCCGCTTTTGTTGCGTCGTTATTGCGCCTAAATTACGTTAAAACAGCGTTTTATTTGAGTGTCGCCTTTAAAAGCACATAAAATGAGATGACTCACAAAGCAGTTTCATAATTTAAAGACAACCCGGATATATTCCCAGTATTATCAGACAAGTTCACTTCGAACTAGGACCCATCGAACTATGGATGGGTCCTACATGTAAATGTGGATTCAAATTTAAACGCTTGCAACTGACAAGGGTAGGGACGAAGATCGGTTAAACCCAGGGATTAGGGACTTAAAATTCCAGCACAAAGCAGTAGGTATCGGGGTAGGACTATCATCATGCATCAATCGCTATCACGGAGAGCCCAGACTACACGTACCAGACCTGTAGCCAGCAATTTGAAAGGGGGGGGTTCTTTTTCTGAAAAAGTGGACCTTTTACCATATAATCCCCATGTACCTAGGTCAAATTTTACCCAGAGTGGACCTTTTTCCAGCAAAAAGGGGGGTTCTTTCGAACCCCCCTGGCTACAGGCCTGCGTACACATGCAACAGAATTCGATTTTCCGTTGAATATATTATTGAGAAAACTGCTCAAATATCTCATATAACACATGCACACGTATCGTTGAACTAGGTCAAATAAAAATGTGTTAAACAAGCATTAAGTTAATCAGTTGTCACCTCTTGGCAGCTCACACCATATATGTGTTACAATCAAAGTTTTCATGGGTTATCGTGGATCTGTTTGCAATCAACAGTTACAGGTGTCAATCACTTGGATCTGTTACAAACACGGTTTTTATGTGCTACGGATCGACAGGTAGTTGGGGCATTTTATTTATTTTCTGACAAATTATTTGATGTAATTTCATCTTCAGTCGCTTTTTTTTTTTTTGCAGTTCATAAATAAACATTTGGATTCACACACGGAAGCTCACATATGAGAGACAGCTATAAATCTCCCTGTCACAAAACGAGAAAAAATGTCTTATTAAAAAGGCAAGTTTTGAAAATTCATCTTTCAAGCATTTTATTCAAGGAAAATGGATTAACATACATTTTCGTATGAAAACAAAAATGCTATCACGAATAAAACTTAAACTTGAAAGTTTTTTTTTTTTTTTTTTTTTTTTTTTGCTTAACTAAATGAGATGAACTAGTCGACTTCTGCTTGACAAAATTTCTGTTCCACGTATTCTTCGTAGACGCAAGTGCAGTATTAAACGCCTCTGTACTCGTCTACACCATCTTTTAACTTGCAATCTTCTATACACTGATCATTGCCTGATGATGACTAGGAACCATAGTCAGGATTTTGTACTAGTGTTTATTTCTATTTTTTTTTCATTTGGAAGCTCTTAATTGTGTCATGAGCACTTTTATTGAGGACTGTTTACATGTAGCAACATTTTATATCAGTATCTGTATATAAAACAGCCACCTTTATGATATATTTCTAAAACATTTTAACATGCTAAGAAAATGTTGACTATAGCACCTTATGGCAATGTGTCTTACAGAAAATTTTTAATGAACACAAATCCCCATGTCTTTTTTATAAAGCCCTGATGATACTGGATTAGACATTACATGCTGTATAGCTTATTCCATGTCCATGAAAAAGAAACCTTCCACATAGCTCTGGTGGCACTGCTAAGATAATACATGATGTAAAGATTATTCCATGTCCATGAAAAAACTAAACCTCCTCCTAGTAAGCTCTGGTGGTACTGTTAGAAGCAGACCTCTTACAGACATTTGGCACTATGGTGTATATGGTGTATAATGGGCTGGGCAAGTCCACAGAGTAAAGAGGTAAGGTCTTAGTCATCTTTCACATTAGATCTCTCACTAAAGCTTTGGCAATGGTGGAGTTACCCCTGAAAGAAACAAAAACAAATTTTTAAAAATCTATATTTTTTGATATTGTTTGTTTTTGCTTGATCAAACGTGGTACTAGTTAAGCCTGTAGCCAAGGTGGGGTGGGGTGGGGTGGGGGTTCAAATGAACCACCCTTTTTTTGTGGGAAAAGATCTGCTCATGTTTACCATTTTTTTTGTGTTTCTAGGTAATTTTATCTAGGTACACAAAAATTTCGTGGTGAAAAACAAACTTTTTCAGAAAAAGAACACCTCTGTTATGAGGGCTGTGTAAAGTCACAGCACAAGATGAAGAATGAGACTGCACAATATAACCCACAAATATGATTAAGTAACAAACATATTAACAAATACTATTCCAACATTACAAACAGCGCAAAGAAACATTCAAGCATGAGAGAGTAATATTAAAAATGCATATAATGTAGATGTTTAGCTGTGGAGTGGAGATATTCCAAATGTAGGTTAAGCTAATGGGATATTTACACAAAATAGGTTATATCCATGACATTTAAAAAAGGAAAAAAAAAGTAACCTGACATAAATTTGTGATTACTTTATCATAAGGTTCATATCTATGCTTCTTGATGTCAAATTTTATGCAAGTAACACGCAAACACTTATAGTGCAACATTAAAAATGGATTACCGTATTATTATTATTATTA